TACTCATAGAGACCCACACTCATAGAGACCCATACTCATAGAGACCCACACTCATAGAGACCCACACTCATAGAGACCCACAGAGACCCACACTCATAGAGACCCATACTCACAGAGACCCACACTCATAGAGACCCATACTCATAGAGACCCATACTCACAGAGACCCACACTCATAGAGACCCACACAGACCCACAGAGACCCACACTCATAGAGACCCATACTCATAGAGATCCATACTCATAGAGACCCACACTCATAGAGACCCATACTCATAGAGACCCACACTCATAGAGACCCACACTCATAGAGACCCACACTCATAGAGACCCACACTCACAGAAACCCACAGAGACCCACACTCATAGAGACCCATACTCATAGAGACCCATACTCATAGAGACCCACACTCATAGAGACCCACACAGACCCACAGAGACCCATACTCATAGAGACCCACACTCACAGAGACCCAAACTCATAGAGACCCATACTCACAGAGACCCACACTCATAGAGACCCATACTCATAGAGATCCATACTCATAGAGACCCACACTCATAGAGACCCATACTCATAGAGACCCACACTCATAGAGACCCACACTCATAGAGACCCACACTCATAGAGACCCACACTCACAGAAACCCACAGAGACCCACACTCATAGAGACCCATACTCATAGAGACCCATACTCATAGAGACCCACACTCACAGAGACGCACACAGACCCCCAGAGATCCATACTCATAGAGACCCACACAGACTTACAGAGACCCATACTCATAGAGACCCATACTCACAGAGACCCACACTCACAGAGACCCACACTCATAGAGACCCACACAGACCCACAGAGACCCACACTCATAGAGACTCACACTCATAGAGACCCACACAGACCCACAGAGACCCACACTCATAGAGACCCACACATACCCACAGAGACCCAAACTCATAGAGACTCACACTCATAGAGACCCATACTCACAGAAACCCACACTCATAGAGACCCATGCTCATAGAGACCCACAGAGACCCACAGAGACCCACAGAGACCTCACTTAGCTGATGTGTCGATGTTTTTTCAGACAAACGACCTGGCCATCACCACCACCATCACCCCCCCATCACCACCACCATCACCCCCATCACCACCCCCATCACCACCACCATCATCACCACCACCACCATCACCACCACCACCACCATCACCACCACCATCACCACCCCCATCACCCCCACCATCATCACCACCACCACCATCACCACCATCACCACCACCATCACCACCATCACCACCACCACCACCATCACCCCCATCACCACCACCATCACCCCCATCACCACCCCCATCACCACCACCATCATCACCACCACCACCATCACCACCACCACCATCACCACCACCATCACCACCCCCATCAACCCCACCATCATCACCACCACCACCATCACCACCATCACCACCACCACCATCACCACCATCACCACCACCATCACCACCACCATCACCACCACCATCACCACCATCACCACCACCACCATCACCACCACCATCACCACCATCACCACCACCACCATCACCACCACCATCACCACACCACCATCACCACCATCACTATCACCACCATCATCACCACCACCACCATCACCACCACCACCACCATCATCACCACCACCATCACCACCATCACCACCACCACCATCACCACCATCACTATCACCACCATCATCACCACCATCACCACCACCACCATCATCACCACCCCCACCACCATCACCACCACCATCACCACCATCACCACCACCATCACCACCACCACCATCACCACCACCATCACCATCACCACCCCCACCACCACCACCATCACCACCACCACCATCACCACCACCATCACCACCATAACCACCACCCCCACCACCACCACCACCAACAACACCACCACCACCACCACCCACCACACCACCACCACCATCATCACCACCACCACCATCACCACCACCATCACCACCACCATCACCACCATCACCACCCCCATCACCACCCCCACCACCACCCCCATCATCACCTAGACTCTGAATGTTTATTCCGAGTGGAGGAATCCGAGGAGCTGTGAAGCTCTTTTTGACAGATCTCCAGTCGGGGCCACTTCGAGGCAGGGGGGGGGGGGGTCAGGACCTTACAACAACAACAACAACAACATCAACAACTAAACAACAACAACAACTAAACAACAACAACACAACAACAACAACTAAACAACAACAACAAACTCCGCACAGTCCACAAACACGCGGTCAGCGCCTTCAAACGTCAACAGAAGTAACTCGAAGTGCAACACGAGGCAGTGGGCGTGGTTTAGAAGGGGGAGTGGGCGTGGTTTGGATCCAGCGGGCGGGGTTTATAGGGAGGTGGGCGTGGTTCAGACGGAGATGGGCGTGGTTCAGATCCAGCGGGCGGGGGTTTAGAGGAAGGTGGGGGTGGCTTAGAGGTAGATGGGCGTGGTTCAGATCCAGCGGGCGGGGTTTAGATGGAGATGGGCGTGGTTCAGATCCAGCGGGCGGGGGTTTAGAGGAAGGTGGGGGTGGTATAGAGGTAGATGGGCGTGGTTCAGACCCAGCGGGCGGGGTTTAGATGGAGATGGGCGTGGTTTAGAGGTAGATGGGCGTGGTTTAGAGGTAGATGGGCGTGGTTCAGATCCAGCGGGCGGTGGTTTAGAGGAAGGTGGGGGTGGTTTAGAGGTAGATGGGCGTGGTTCAGATCCAGCGGGCGGGGTTTAGATGGAGATGGGCGTGGTTTAGAGGTAGATGGGCGTGGTTCAGATCCAGCGGGCGGGGTTTAGAGGTAGATGGGCGTGGTTCAGATCCAGCGGGCGCGGTTTAGAGGAAGGTGGGGGTGGCGTAGAGGTAGATGGGCGTGGTTCAGATCCAGCGGGCGGGGGTTTAGATGTAGATGGGCGTGGTTCAGATCCAGCGGGCGGGGGTTTAGAGGTAGATGGGCGTGGTTTATGGGGGATGGGCGTGATTTAGAGGGAGGTGTTGGTGGGTGGTTTAGATAGAGATGGGCGTGGATCAGATCAAGTGGGCGGGGTTTACAGGGAGGTGGGCATGGTTCAGAGGAAGGTGGGCGTGGTTCAGATTCAGCAGGCGGGGTTTAAAGGAAGGTGGGCGTGGTTTTTTTCAGTGGGAGGATTTTAGAGGGAGTGGGGCGTGGTTTAGATGGAGGCGGGCGTGGCTTAGAGGAAGGTGGGCGTGTTTTAGAAACAGAGGGCGGGGTTTAGATGCAGTGGGTCGGGTCGAGATGGAGGTGGGCGGGGTGGAGATGCAGACAGGCGGGGGTATGGACGAGAAAGGGCGGAGTTTAGGGTGAGTGGGCCGGGTTTAGTGGGGTGGTTGGGGGCGGGGTTCAGATGGAGTGGGCGGTTAGAATCGATCCACTTTAATCATCCAGAGATTAGGAAATCGATTCCGCCGTTTGGTTATAACGGAGGAGGGAATCGATAAAAATTCTCGCTCTTCCACACTTTCGAGGCGATCGATTCCCAACCACGTTGTATCACAGCGCGTGAGGATTCGATTCAATCGAAAAAATGAGTATTCCACAACGAATCCGGAATCGGTGAATCGATTCATTAAACTTGACTGTCGCCGACAAATGGCGCCAAAATTTTTATTCGTTCCGTCGTGAGAGGTGAGGGGGGGTGGTAAGAAATTTGTAAAAAAATAAAATAAAAATTGTACGAATAAAATTTTTCTTTTAAATTATAAACAATAAAAAAACGAATTCAATCTCATTTTTAGAAGAAGAAAAAAAAACGATAGCGAAACGGCCGACGGAGCTTCACGAATTTTGGTGTTTCGGTGGTGGTGGTGGTAGTGGTGGTGGTGGTTGTTGTTGTTGCCTCAGGCAGTCATGGCGAGCACCTCTTCCTCCTCCTCCTCATCATCCTCCTCCTCCTCATCGTCGTCTACGGAGAGAAGCGGCGGGAAGACGACGCCGCCGCCGCCAAAGACGAGGAAGAGGAAGACGCTTGGGGAGGACGAGGTGAGGAGCGGGAAGAAGAAGAAGACGACGCGGGGTGAAGAAGATGAGGAGGTGGGTGAGGAGGTGGGTGAGGAGGTGGTGAGGAGAAGGGGGAGGAAGACGACGCGGGGTGAAGATGAGGAGGTGGGTGAAGATGAGGTGGGTGAGGAGGTGGTGAGGAGAAGGGGGAGGAAGACGACGCGGGGTGAAGATGAGGAGGTGGGTGAAGAGGAGGTGGTGGGTGAGGAGGTGGTGAGGAGAAGGGGGAGGAAGACGACGCGGGGTGAAGATGAGGAGGTGGGTGAAGAGGAGGTGGTGGAGGAGATGGTGAGGAGAAGGGGGAGGAAGACGAAGACGCGGGGTGAAGATGAGGTGGTGGGTGAAGATGAGGAGGTGGAGGAGATGGTGAGGAGAAGGGGGAGGAAGACGCGGGGTGAAGATGAGGTGGGTGAAGATGAGGTGGGTGAGGAGGTGAGGAGAAGGGGGAGGAAGACGACGCGGGGTGAAGATGAGGAGGTGGAGGAGGTGGTGAGGAGAAGGGGGAGGAAGAAGACGACGCGGGGTGAAGATGAGGTGGAGGGTGAAGATGAGGTGGAGGGTGAGGAGGTGGTGAGGAGAAGGGGGAGGAAGACGACGACGCGGGGTGAAGAAGATGAGGAGGTGGAGGACGAGGTGAGGAGCAGGAGGAGCGGGAAGAAGAAGACGCGGGGTGAAGAAGATGAGGAGGTGGGTGAGGAGGTGGAGGAGGTGGTGAGGAGGAGAAGGGGGAAGAAGAAGACGCGGGGTGAAGATGAGGAGGAGGGTGAGGAGGTGGGTGAGGAGGAGGAGGTGGGTGAGGATGAGGAGGGTGAAGATGAGGAGCGTGAAGATGAGGTGGGTGAGGAGGTGGAGGAGATGGTGAGGAGAAGGGGGAGGAAGACGACGCGGGGTGAGGATGAGGTGGAGGAGGAGATGGAGGAGGTGGGTGAGGAGGAGGAGGAGGGTGAGGAGGAGGAGGAGGAGGGTGAGGAGGTGGTGAGGAGCAGGAGGAGGACGCGGAGGGCGGGAGGAGAAGCAAAGTCTACAGGTTCGCGTTTACTCACAAACACAAACACACACTAACACTAATATATACACTAATATATACACTAATATACACTAATATATACACTAATATACACACTAATACAGTATACACAAACACACACTAACATATATACACTAATATATACACTAGTATACACTAGTATACACAAACACACACTGACATATTTACACTAGTATACACTAGTATACACAAACACACACTGACATATTTACACTAGTATACACTAGTATACACAAACACACACTGACATATTTACACTAGTATACACTAGTATACACAAACACACACTGACATATTTACACTAGTATACACTAGTATACACAAGTATACACAAACACACACTGACATATATACACTAATATATACACTAGTATACACTAGTATACACAAACACACACTGACATATATACACTAATATATACACTAGTATACACAAACACACACTGACATATATACACTAATATATATACTAATATACACTAGTATACACACAAACACTAATATATACTAACATACATACTAATATATACTAATAATATATACTAATATACACTAGTATACACAAACACACACTAACACTAATATATACTAACATACATACTAATATATACTAATAATATATACTAATATACACACTAACATACACACTAACATACACACTAATATATACTAATATACACACTAATACAGTATACACAAACACACTAACATACACACTAACATATACACTAATATACACACTAATACAGTATACACAAACACACACTAACATACACACTAACATATACACTAACATATACTAATATATACTAATATACACTAGTATATACACTAATATACACAAACACACACTAACACTAATATATACACTAATATATACACTAATATACACTAGTATACACAAACACACACTAACACTAATATATACTAATATATACACTAATATATACTAATATACACTAATATACACTAGTATACACAAACACACACTAACACTAATATATATTAATATACACTAATATATACACTAATATACACTAGTATACACAAACACTAACACTAATATATACTAACATGCATACTAATATATACTAATAATATATACTAATATACAGACTAACATACACACTAATATATACACTAATATATACACTAATATACACACTAATACAGTATACACAAACACACACTAACATACACACTAACATATACACTAACATATACTAATATATATACTAATATACACTAATATACACACTAATATATATACTAATATACACTAATATACACACTAATATATATACTAATATACACTAATACAGTATACACTAATATACACACTAATACAGTATTCACAAACACACACTAACATACACACTAATATATATACTAATATACATACTAATATATACACATACAGTATACACTAATATACACACTAATATATATACACTAATATATACACTAACATATACACTAATATACACACTAACATATGCACTAATATATACACTAATATATACTAGTATACACTAATATATACACTAATATACACTAGTATACACAAACACACACTAACACTAATATATACTAACATACATACTAATATATACTAATCATATATACTAATATATACTAATATACACACTAACATACACACTAATATATACACTAATATACACACTAATACAGTATACACAAACACACACTAACATACACACTAACATATACACTAACATATACTAATATATACTAATATACACACTAATATATACACTAATATACACTAATACAGTATACACTAATATACACTAATATACACACTAATACAGTATACACAAACACACACTAACATACACACTAACATATATACTAATATACATACTAATATATACACATACAGTATACACTAATATACACACTAATATATATATGCTAATATATACACTAACATATACACTAATATACACACTAATATATACACTAATATATATACTAATATATACTAGTATACACTAATATATACACTAATATATACACTAATATACACTAGTATACACTAACACACACTAATACACACTAATACAGTATACACTAATAATATACACTAAGAATATACTAATATACACTAATATACACACTAATACACACTAATACAGTATACACTAATATACACCAACACACACTTAATATACACACTAATATATACTAATATACACACTAATACACACACTAATACAGTATACACTAATATACACACTAACATATACACTAATATATACTAATATACACACTAATATATACTAATATACACACTAATATACACTAGTATACACTAACACACACTAATACACACTAATATACACTAATATATACACCCATTAACTCACCCACTGACCCACTCACTCACCCACTCACCCATTCACGCACCCACTCACTCACCCATTCACTCAACCATTCACTCACCCATTCACTCACCCATTCACTCACCCACTGACCCACTCACTCACCTACTCACCCATTCACTCAACCATTAACTCACCCACTGACCCACTCACTCACCTACTCACCCACTAACCCATTCACTTTGGATGTGAATGGGTGACTTGAGTTAGTGGGTACGTGATTTAGTGAGTGGGTGGTTGGGTGAGTGAGTGAGAGAGTGAGTGGGTGAGTGAGAGAGTGAGTGATTGAGTGAGTGGGTGATTGAGTGAGTGGGTGAGAGAGTGAGTGAGGGAGTGCGTGAGTGGGTGAGTGAGTGGGTGGTTGGGTGAGTGAGAGGGTGAGAGAGTGAGTGGGTGAGTGAGTGAGTGAGAGAGTGAGTGAGAGAGTGAGAGAGTGAGTGAGTGGGTGAGTGAGAGGGTGAGTGAGAGAGTGAGTGAGAGGGTGAGAGAGTGAGTGAGTGGTTGGGTGAGAGAGTGAGAGAGTGACTGGGTGATTGAGTGGGTGAGTGGCTGAGTAACTGAGTTGGTTGGGCGTGTGGGCGAGCGAGTGTGTGCGCGCGTGTGCACCTAGCCTGGCACTCCAGCAGTGCCCCTGTTGTTGACGTTGCTTGCCAGGTGGTGGTGGACGAGGTGGTGGACGAGGTGGACGGAGGAGGAGATCCGAGGTTGAGGTGGAAGACAAGGAGGTAGAGTTGACCAGCGCGATGATCAAGAAGTGGGCTCCTCCCAGTGCTCAGCTCCAGAGAGCCGTCTCCGTCGCCATCTACAGCGCCATCACGTGAGTGGGTGGGTGTTTGTGGGTGGGTGAGTGTGGGTGGGTGGGTGGGTGTGGGTGGGTGAGAGTGTGAGTGGGTGTGGGTGGGTGTGTGAGTGGGTGGGTGAGAGTGTGGGTGGGTGTGTGAGTGGGTGGGTGGGTGAGTGGGTGAGTGGGTGGGTGAGTGGGTGGGTGAGAGTGTGAGTGGGTGAGTGTGTGGGTGAGTGTGAGTGGGTGAGAGTGTGTGTGAGTGGGTGAGTGTGAGTGGGTGGGTGTGGGTGTGTGAGTGGGTGGGTGAGAGTGTGAGTGGGTGGGTGTGAGTGTGGGTGGGTGAGTGTGGGTGGGTGAGAGTGTGAGTGGGTGTGAGTGGGTGAGTGGGTGGGTGAGTGGGTGGGTGAGTGGGTGGGTGAGTGTGTGTGAGTGGGTGGGTGTGAGTGCGAGTGGGTTGGTGTGAGTGTGGGTGGGTGAGTGTGAGTGGATAAGTGGGTGGGTGTGTGTGGGTGGGTGAGAGTGAGTGGTTGGGTGAGTGTGGGTGGGTGAGTGTAGGTGGGTGAGTGTGGGTGGGTGGGTGAGTGTGGGTGGGTGGGTGAGTGAGAGTGGGTGGGTGAGTGTGGGTGAGTGTGGGTGAGTGGGTGAGTGGGTGGGTGGGTGAGAGTGTGAGTGGGTGGGTGTGTGTGGGTGGGTGAGTGTGGGTGTGAGTGGGTGGGTGGGTGTGGGTGGGTGAGTGTGCGTGAGTGGGTGGGTGGGTGAGTGTGAGTGGGTGGGTGTTAGTGAGTGTGAGTGGGTGAGTGTGTATGAGTGGGTGGGTGTGAGTGAGTGTGAGTGGGTGGGTGGGTGAGTGAGAGTGGGTGAGTGAGAGTGAGTGTGAGTGGGTGAGTGAGAGTGTGAGTGGGTGGGTGTGTGAGTGAGTGGGTGTGTGAGTGGGTGTGTGAGTGGGTGTGTGAGTGGGTGAGTGTGTGGGTGAGTGTGTGAGTGGGTGAGTGTGAGTGGGTGGGTGGGTGTGAGTGGGTGAGTGCGAGTAGGTGAGTGTGGGTGGGTGTGGGTGTGGGTGGGTGGGTGATTGTGAGTGGGTGGGTGAGTGTGAGTAGGTGAGTGTGAGTGGGTGAGTGTGGGTGGGTGGGTGAGTGTGAGTGTGTGTGAGTGGATGAGTGAGAGTGTGAGTGGGTGGGTGAGTATGGGTGAGTGAGTGTGAGTGAGTGGGTGGGTGAGTGTGTGTGAGTGGGTGAGTGTGTGAGTGTGTCTGAGTGGGTGATTGTGTGTGAGTGCACATTGGACGGGTTCTGCAGGATTGGAAGGATGCCCTGGTGGTCCCCCTTTTTAAGAAGGGGGACCGCACAGACTGTAACAACTACAGGCGCATCTCACTCCTCAGTGTGCCGGGAAAGGTCCTGGCAAGGATTATTCAACATCGCCTTGCCAGGCACGCTGAGGAGAGGCTTGCGGAGCCCCAATGCGGTTTCAGGAAAGGGCGGTCCTGCACAGATGCCATATTTTCTGTCCGTCTGCTACAGCAGAGGTGTAGGGAATTCCATCAAGACCTACATCTCTGCTTTATTGACCTGGTCAAGGCCTATGATACCATCAGTAGGCCTGGGCTCTGGGTTGTTCTTCGTGCTTTTGGAGTACCTGACCCTCTGCTCACGATCATTAAGGACCTTCACGATGGTGAGCGGGCCCGGGTAAAACTACGTGGCCGGGAGTCGGAGCAATTCCCTGTACACCTTGGGGTGCGACAGGGATGTCCTCTGGCTTCCACATTATTTAACATCTATTTTGACCACGTAGTTCGTGAAGCCTTCAATAGCTGTACCGGGGGAATCTCCATATGGTACAGATATAATGGGAGGCTGATCGATGCCCGGGTGCGGTCAAGGGATGGCTCCCTATTGCTCAACCACGTTATGTATGCTGATGATTTGGTAATAGCTGCTCGTTCAGAGGAGGAGTTGGAGACGCTGCTGCTGAGACTGGAGCATGCAACTAAGAGGTGGGGCCTTACCATCAGCCCCACCAAAACTAAGCACCTGCCTGGGTATTTTTTACCATCGGACACTCCACCCCTACAACTCCCAATCGGTGATAGGGCAGTTGTGGAGAGAGTGAAGAGTTTCCCATACCTGGGCAGTGTGCTCATGACCGGCTCCAGGTTAACAGCAGAGGTCTCACTCCGAATTAGTCGAGCGGCAATATCTTTTCATCGGTTGCGTAACGCTGTGTGGAAGCTACCTGGTCTGTCGCTCCGCACTAAGCTTCAGGTCTTCTCGGCCACGGTCTTTCCCTCCCTTCTCTACGCTTGCGAAACGTGGACCCCCCTAATGGAACATCTTCGCCGGTTAGAAACATTTAGGCTGGCCTGCCTACGATCCATCCTGGGTTTAACCAGACTGGATTGTGTGAGGAGCTCACAAATCCTTGAAAGATCTGGGCAAGGTCCCATCGGTGAGCTCCTCCGGCAGGCAAGGCTGCGATGGCTGGGTCATGTAGCCCGCATGCCCAGCCACCGCATGCCGAAACAGCTTTTGTTTGGCCGGATTGAGGGGGCTAAGCGGGCGCGGCACGGGCTAGAGAAGAGATGGAGTGATGTGGTACAGGAGGACGTGGAGCTGAGTCGACTTGCCGATGACTGGTACCAGCAGTGTCAAGATCGGCCTCTGTGGAGGAGGCTCGTGAAGGACGCTACTGGGCAGTTGGAGGTAGTCACCCTCCAACAACAACGGAGGGCGGAGGAGCGACGCTCACAACGAGCGGAGCGCCGGGTGGCTAAAGCACAGCAGGTTGGCACAGTAGGGGGCACAGGTGGTGCATCAGCCAGTCATCTCAGTCAGTCGACCCGTGGCACCTGGGTCTGCCCCGTGACCTCCGGCCGGCGGGCGTTCGACACTTCACGTGGCCTCAGGGTGCACATAGCCTGGCACAAGCGTCGTGGTGACGTCACCGCCACTTAGTGGCGAATGGCGGTTGTTGTTGTGTGTGAGTGAGTGGGTGAGTGGGTGGGTGAGTGGTTGAGTGGGTGAGTGGGTGAGAGTGAGTGGTTGACTGTGAGTGGGTAAGTGTGTGTGAGTGGGAGGGTGAGTGAGAGTGTGAGTGGGTGGGTGAGTATGGGTGAGTATATGTGAGTGAGTGGGGGAGTGGGTGTCTGAATGTGTGAGTGTGTGAGTAGATGAAAGTGAGTGGGTGAGAGTGAGTGGTTGAGTGTGAGTGGGTGAGTGTGAGTGGGTGAGTGAGAGTGTGGGTGGGTGAGTGGGTGAGAGTGGGTGGGTGAGTGTGAGTGGGTGAGTGGGTAAGTGTGAGTGGGTGAGTGAGAGTGTGGGTGGGTGAGTGGGTGAGAGTGGGTGGGTGGGTGAGTGTGGGTGGGTGAGTGTGGGTGGGTGAGTGTGGGTAGGTGTGTGTGTGTGGGTGAGTAAGTGTTTGAGAGTGTTAGTGGGTGGGTGGGTGGGTGAGTGGCTGAGAGTGGGTGGGTGGATGAGTGTGTACCTTAGCCTGGCACGGGGCACGCACACAAGCGTGTGTATGTGTCTGTGTCGACGCTGGCTAGAGAATAGATGGAGCTGATGGTTGAGTGATTTTGTGTGTGGGTGAGAGTGTGTGAGTGAGTGCGTACCTCCGCCTGGCACGGAGCACCCACGTCGGCCCTGGTCATGCCCTCCCTTCTCTACGCTTGCGTAACTTGGACCCCTCTAAGAGAACATCTTCGCCCGTGAGAAGCATTCAGGCTGGCCTGCCTATGATCCATCCTGGATTTAACCAGGCTGGATTGTGTGAGAAGCTCGCACATTCCTGAAAGATCTGGGTGAACTCCGGCAGGCAAGGCTACACTTGACCGGGTCATGCAGACCGCATGCCCAGCCACCGCATGCCTAAACAGCTTTTAATAATAGTAGGGTTTTTCCCATTTTTTTCCTGCAACAAAACTGAAACCTTTTTTTACAAGGGTTCATGTTACTGCATTAACCCACAATACCTGCAGTCAAAATGCAAACAAAAAACACACACTATGATCACATGATGCATTGTCCTTGAAACTGATTGGTCCACACCAAGGGACGGCTTTCTTTTGAGCCTCGACCCATTTGGTGCTCGACCAGATGACGCCAAAAGGCGTTACACACAGCTCAAAGACAATGTCGCTATCGAAGTAATGAGGGCTCGGGGTGAGCATCTACATCATCATTAGAACTCTTTTGCCAGTACCAAAATATGATAAGAGGGTTTTTCCCCTTTTTTCCTGGCAACTTAACTGAAACCTTTTTTACAAGGATTCGTGCTACTGCATTAACCACAATACCTGCAGTCAAAATGCAAAACAAAAAGCACACACACACTCTGATCACGTGATGCATTGTCCTTGAAACTGATTGGTCCACACCAAGGGGAAAAACCCCTATTATTATATTTTGGTACTGGCAAAGGAGGTCTAATAATGATGTAGATGCTCACCCCGAGCCCTCATTACTTTGATAGCGACATTGTCTTTGAGCTGTGTAAACGCCTTTTGGCGTCATCTTTGTCGAGCACCAATTGGGTCGAGGCTCAAAAGAAAGCCGTCCCTTGGTGTGGACCAATCAGTTTCAAGGACAATGCATCATGTGATCATAGTGTGTGTGTGTGTGTGTTTTTGTTTGCATTTTGACTGCAGGTATTGTGGTTAATGCAGTAACATGAATCCTTCTAAAAAGGTTTCAGTTTTGTTGCAGGAAAAAATGGGAAAAACCCCTATTATTATATTTTGGTACTGGCAAAAGAGGTGTGATGGTGATGATGATGAGATAAACAGCTTTTGTTCGGCCGGATAGAGGGGGCTAAATGGGTGTGGCACCGGCTGGAGAAGAGATGGGAGTGACGTGGTACAGGAGGACGTGGAGCTGAGTGGACTTGCCCATGACCGGTACCAGCGGGCTAGAGAAGAGATGGAGTGACGTGGTACGGGAGGACGTGGAGCTGAGTGGACTTGCCGATGACCGGTACCAGCGGTGTCAAGATCGGCCTCTGTGGAGGAGGCTCGTGAAGGACGCTGCTACTGGGCTAGTGCCAGGCTAGGTGCACCTTGAGGCTACTGGGCAGTTGGAGGCAGTCGCCCTCCAACAACAACGGAGGGCGGAGGAGCGGCGCTCACAACAACGAGCGGAACGCCGGGCGGCTAAAGCACAGCAGGTTGGCACAGTAGGGGGCACAGGTGGTGCATCAGCCAGTCATCTCAGTCAGTCGACCCGTGGCACCTGCTGGGTCTGCCCCGTGACCTCCTGCCAGCGTGCCTTCGACACTTCACGTGGCCTCAGGGTGCACATAGCCTGGCACAAGCGTCGTGGTGACGTCACCGCCACTTAGTGGCTAATGGCGGATGTCGTTCGTGAGTGGGTGAGTGGGTGGGTGGGTGGGTAGGTGGGTGAGTACCAACACGAGATGGAGTGATGCTGTGCAAGGGGACGTGGAGCTGGATGAACTTACCGGTGACCGGTACCGACGGTGTCAAGACCGGCTTCTCCGTCGGGAGGCTTGTGAAGGACGCTGCTACTGGGCATTGCCCAGGCTAGGTGCGCTTTGAGTGAGGCTACCAGTCAGTCGCCCTTCAGCAACAACAACAACAACAAGAGGGCAAGCGGGCGGCGGGGGCGGGCGCAGGGCGAGGTAAAACGCGGCAGGTTAGCGCAGCCGGGGGGTGGGGTGGAGTGAGGGGGGCACAGGTGGCGCATCAGCCAGTCGTCTCGGTCAGTCGACACGTGACACCTGGTACCCTGTCCGATGGCCTCACTCCTGCGCCTTGCCTGGCACAGGCAGGTGCCGCGGTGACATCACACCTCCACTTTGGTGGCGAATGGCGGCTTGCTATTGTTGTGTTGTGTGTGTGTGTGTGGGGATGCGGTGGTGCGGTGGTGGTGGTGGTAGGGGGGTGGAGGGGAAGCGGTTAGCACTCGGCACCGCTCCGAACCCGGCAGGGGACCCGGCTTCGATTTCCGCTCGCGGGCGCCAACGTCGCCCGTTGACTATGATTATCTGAGCCGCTCCTTGGCCTCCCCAAATGTCGACTCGGCCTCACGTGAGTGTCTGGTGCCGTGGTGGAGACGTACGTTGGCCGGGCGGGCGTGGCGCTGGCTACAACACCCCTCCCCTGCTCTTGTGCCAATGTGCGGGTCTACATCACAGTGCCGGTCTTCGTAGGCGCTACCCGCTGCCCGCTAACAGCACTTGCCCCAGCAGTGTTAAGGCTACACGGGGGATCTTTGTGTGTTGGTGCTGGCCACCCACCCACCCACCCACCTCCCCCGCTCCTCTTGTGCTGTAGTGGCAGCCAACAGCAGTTGGCCCGGCGGCCTTGTTGGGAGGCTACATGGGGGTCCTTTGTGTGTATCCATGCGTGCCTCCGTGTGTCTCCGTTCAGTGCAACTCTGCGCAACAAGCGGAAAATCAGTTCCACTGCGACCATACACATTGACAACTTGAAAAGAGAGTAAGTGCCTGTGTTGTCAGTGTGTGTGTGTCGGTGTGTGTGTGTCGGTGTGTGTGTGTCGGTATCAGCGAATGTGTGTCTGTGTCTTTGTTCCTTTGTGTCTTTGTGCGTGTCAATGTGCGTGTGCGTGCGTGTGTGTGTGTGTGTGTGCGTACGCTGTGGTGGGCAGTGCCAATGGGAGGTGGGCCAACTTTGATTGGCCATTCCCCTCGTGGCGTCTGTAACCACCACAGGGGCCAAATGGGGGGCTCTGGACGGGTGCGAGGGGCTGGTAACCCCTCCGCCTTCAATTAATTACCCACTAAACTACGAGTTAAAAAAATGTATTAAGCTTGTGCCGGAGGCCCCGGCGGGGACAGGCGTCTATGACGTCTCCTGGCCAAACCCCAATTTGGCGGAGCCAGGAGACTGAATCCTTGCCCTCGGGGTTCCCCCAGAAACAACGAAAAGCCACTACGTGTGGCCACGTGGAATGTTCGAACGCTCGCTGCGGAGGAGAGGCTGCCCACTCCTTTGTCGGGAGCTGGACCGGTACCGCCTGGATCTCTGCGGTATTCAGGAGGTCCAGTGGACCGGCTCTGGCTCCTGCCACCACGAGGGGTGGACAGTCCTCTACTCGGGGCAGCAGACTGCCAAACAACAGGGAGTGGCTCTTCTGAGCAGAAGAATGAAGGGGGCGTGGGAGCGTGGCGGGGAGTTGTGGGAAGCTGTAAGCCCCAGGCTACTTTGGGCTCGCCTTCCCATCAAGCAGAGGCGAGGAGTGGTGGTCGTGGTTACTGAAGACGAACATCCGTGGAGGGATGCAGGCAAAGCCGATGAGTCAGATGCCTTCTATGACCTCCTGTCACAGGTGCTGGCTAAAGTGGCCCCTCCGGATAGAGTCATCTTGTTGGGTGACTTCAATGCCTGAGTTGGTCATGATGCTTGCACCTGGTCTGGAGTGATTGGAAGTCATGGGCCAGATCAGCTAAATAACAACAGCAGGAGGCTGATAGTTTTTTGTGCAGCCCATGGACTTGTATTTACCAACGCGCTGTTCCGGCATTGGCGCATCCACACAACATCATGGGTGCATGCCGGATCTTAGCAAGAACATCTGCTGGACTACATAGTGACGGACCAGTGAATGCGAGCCGATGTCCTTGACACCAGGACCTACCGTGGAGCTGATCTGCCCACTGACCATCGACTTGCCATCTGTAAGATGCGCCTGCCATTCTTCCACTCCGGTGGTGGGTGTACACCCAGAACCCCATTCAAACCCACAGTGGCATGGTCTCAGCTAGCTGATGAAAGTTGCAAGCGAGAATTTCACCATCGCTTGCGGCTGGGGTTGGCATCGTCCCCCACTCCTCCTGATGTCGAGGGGAAATGGGCGAGGTTTTGGACTGTGGCTCATGCAGCTGCAATGGCTGCTTTGGGTACACGGTCCAGACCTCCCCAGAGACCCTGGCTGACAGAGGAGGTGTTCAGGTCCTGAGAAAAAGCGACAGGCCCACTCTCATCGGCTACAGCATCCCACGTCACAGAGTGAGGAGGCTTACCGCAGCCTTCGCTCGGAGGTTTGGAGAGCCGTGAGGCACTGCAAGGATGGGTGGTGGTCGCGGGTTGCTGAGGAGATGGAGTCTGCCTCAATGGCCCGCGATCACAAATCCCTCTTTAATTCCATAAAAAAGTAACCTGCAGCGCCACACCTATCACCATCATTATGTGGAAAGAACGGTGATCCGATCTCTGACCCCCAGGAACAGGTTCGCAGATTTGCTGAGCATTTCTGTGAGGACCCGGGGGAGGGCAAATCCCTCAGCCTGGAAACATCGTGGGGAAAAGTGGGGATGACCCTGCCGAGGCTGCGGTGCCTAAAATATTGGAGGAGGAAGTCACCCCCTGTGAGTGGCTGGCTGAGGTGCCATCCGTTGAGGAAATACTGAAGGCGATCCAGAGTCTGAGACCAGGAAAGGCATCGGGCAGAGTTGATCTGCCAAGCGAAATGCTGAGGGAGGGTGGCGTTTATGTGCAGACTGCACTAAGTGACATCATAACAACAGTCTGGACCACTGGACGGGTTTTGCAGGATTGGAAGGATGCCCTGGTGGTCCCCCTCTTTAAGAAGGGGGACCGCACAGACTGTAACAACTACAGGGGCATTTCACTCCTCAGTGTGCCGGGAAAGGTCCTGGCAAGGATTATTCAGCATCGTCTTGCCAGGAATGTTGAGGAGAGGCTTGCGGAGCCCCAATGCAGTTTCAGGAAAGGGCGGTCCTGCACAGATGCCATATTTTCTGTCCGTCTGCTACAGCAGAGGTGTAGGGAATTCCAGCAAGACCTACATCTCTGCTTTATTGACCTGGTCAAGACCTATGATACCATCAGTAGGCCTGGGCTCTTGGTTATTCTTCGTGCTTTCGGAGTCCCTGACCCTCTGCTAACGCTCATTCAGGACCTTCATGATGGTGAGCAGGCCCGGGTAAAACTACGTGGCCGGGAGTCAGAGCCATTCCCTGTACACCTTGGGGTGCGACAGGGATGTCCTCTGGCTCCCACATTATTTAACATCTATTTTGACCACGTAGTTCGTGAAGCCTTCAGTAGCTGTACCGGGGGATTCTCCATATGGTACAGATATAATGGGAGGCTAATCGATGCCCGGGTGCGGTCAAGGGATGGCTCCCTATTGCTCAACCACGTTATGTATGCTGATGATTTGGTAATAGCTGCTCAGTCAGAGGAGGAGTTGGAGACGCTGCTGCTGATACTGGAGCGTGCCACTAAGAGGTGGGGCCTTACCATCAGCCCCACCAAAACTAAGCACCTGACTGGGTATTTTGTACCATCGGACACTCCACCCCCACAACTCCCAATCGGTGATGGGGCAGTTGTGGAGAGAGTGGAGAGTTTCCCATACCTGGGCAGTGTGCATATGACTGGCTCCAGTTTAACAGCAGAGGTCTCACTCCGAATCAGTCGAGCGGCAATATCTTTTCATCGGTTTGCGTAACGCTGTGTGGAAGCTACCTGGTCTGTCGCTCCGCACTAAGCTTCAGGTCTTCTCGGCCACGGTCATTCCCTCCCTTCTCTACGCTTGCGAAACGTGGACCCCCCTAATGGAATATCTTCGCCAGTTAGAAACATTTAGGCTGGCCTGCCTACGATCCATCCTGGGTTTAACCAGACTGGATTGTGTGAGGAGCTCACAAATCCTTGAAAGATCTGGGCAGGGTCCCATCGGTGAGCTCCTCCGGCAGGCAAGGCTGCGATGGCTGGGTCATGTAGCCCGCATGCCCAGCCACCGCATGCCGAAACAGCTTTTGTTTGGCCGGATTGAGGGGGCTAAGCGGGCGCGGCACGGGCTAGAGAAGAGATGGAGTGATGTGGTACAGGAGGACGTGGAGCTGAGTGGACTTGCCGATGACTGGTACCAGCGGTGTCAAGATCGGCCTCTGTGGAGGAGGCTCGTGAAGGACGCTACTGGGCAGTTGGAGGCAGTCGCCCTCCAACAACAACGGAGGGCGGAGGAGCGACGCTCAGAACAACGAGCGGAGCGCCGGGTGGCTAAAGCACAGCAGGTTGTCACAGTAGGGGGCACAGGTGGTACACCAGCCAGTCATCTCAGTCAGTCGACCCGTGGCACCTGGGTCTGCCCCGTGACCTCCTGCCAGCGGGCGTTCGACACTTCACGTGGCCTCAGGGTGCACATAGCCTGGCACAAGCGTCGTGGTGATGTCACTGCCACTTAGTGGCGAATGGCGGTTGTTGTTGTTGTCATTGTCTGTGTCAGTGTGTGTGTCAGTGTGTGTGTCAGTGTGTGTATCTGTGTGTGTGTCAGTGTGTGTCAGTGTGTGTGTCAGCGTGTGTCAGTGTCTGTGCCAGTGTGTGTGTCAGTGTGTGTGTCATTGTCTGTGGCAGTGTGTGTGTCCGTGTGTGTGTCAGTGTGTGTCATTGTCTGTGTCAGTGTGTGTGTCCGTGTGTGTGTCAGTGTCTGTGTCAGTGTGTGTGTCAGTGTGTGTGTGTCAGTGTGTGTGTCAGTGTGTGTGTGTCAGTGTGTGTCAGTGTGTGTGTCAGCGTGTGTGTCAGTGTGTGTGTCAGCGTGTGTGTCAGCGTGTGTGTCAGCGTGTGTGTCAGTGTGTGTGTCAGTGTGTGTGTGTCATTGTCCGTGTCTGTGTGTGTCTCAGCGTGTGTCTCAGCGTGTGTGTCAGTGTCTGTGTCAGTGTGTGTGTCAGTGTGTCTGTCTGCGTGTGTGTCTGCGTGTGTGTTTGTGTCTGCGTGTGTGTCAGCGTGGGTGTCATTGTCTGTGTCAGTACGTGTGTCTCGGTGTGTGTGTCAGCGTCTGTGTCAGCGTGCGTGTCATCGTCTGTGTCTCAGCGTGCGTGTCATCGTCTGTGTCTCAGCGTGCGTGTCAGTGTGTGTGTCAGCGTGTGTGTCATTGTCTGTGTCAGCGTCTGTGTCTCAGCGTGCGTGTCATCGTCTGTGTCTCAGCGTGCGTGTCATCGTCTGTGTCTCAGCGTGCGTGTCAGTGTCTGCGTCCACTAACCCACCCATCCACCGGTGCCCCAGGTGGAGTGACATGTCCCGTCTCTGTGTTCCACTGGGGCCTGCATCGGCCTCCGCCCAGTGGGACAGAGGAGGTGCAAACTCGTTGGCCCTGCTTTCCGCCAGGCTGGAGGAGGCCCAGGCAAGACGGTCGGCCATGACGGTACGCAAACACCTCGGCCACAAATGAAACCCCCGGGCACTGGACTGGACTGAACTAAACTAAACAAAAAACTGAGCGGTTTAAAAAACAAACAAAATACTCTTTGCTTCTTCCGGTATTATTGGTGGTGGTGGTGATGGTGGTGGTTATTGTGATTGTGGAGGAGGTGGTGGTGTTGATGGAGGTGGTGTTGGAGGTGGTATTATTGGTGGTGATGGTGGTGGTGATTGTGATTGTGAAGGAGGTGGTGGAGGAGGTGGTGGTGTTGATGGAGGTGGTGTTGGAGGTGCTATTATTGGTGGTGATGGTGGTGGTGGTGGAGGAGGTGGTGTTGATGGAGGTGGTATTATTGGTGGTGGTGATGGTGGTGATTGTGATTGTGAAGGAGGTGGTGGTGTTGATGGAGGTGGTATTATTGGTGGTGATGGTGGTGATTGAGATTGTGAAGGAGGATGGGTGTTGATGGTGGTGTTGGAGGTGGTATTATTGGTGATGGTGGTGATTGTGAAGGAGGAGGTGGTGCTGATGGTGTTGGTGTTGGAGGTGGTATTATTGGTGATGGTGGTGGTGATTGTGAAGGAGGTGGTGGTGTTGATGGAGGTGGTGTTGGAGATGGTATTATTGGTGGTGGTGGAGGAGGTCGTGGTTTTGGAGGTGGTATTATTTGTGGTGATGGTGGTGGTGATTGTGATTGTGGAGGAGGTGGTGGTGTTGATGGAGGTGGTGTTGGAGGTGGTATTATTGGTGGTGGTGGAGGTCGTGGTTTTGGAGGTTTTTATTATTTGTGGTGATGGTGGTGGTGATTGTGATTGTGGAGGAGGTGGTGGTGTTGATGGAGGTGGTGTTGGAGGTGGTGACTTTACCGAAAGAACCAAGAATAATAATTTTGTTGTTTTACAATAATTTTATTGTTTTATATTTTATTATTTTATTGTTTCCCCTTCTACGTGGTGGTGACTTTACCGAAATAACCAAGAATAATAATTTTATTGTTTTATATTTTTATTATTTTATTGTTTCCCCTTCTACGTGGTGGTGACTTTACCGAAAGAACCAAGAATAATAATTTTATTGTTTTACAATAATTTTATTGTTTTATATTTTTATTATTTTATTGTTTCCCTTCTACGTGGTGGTGACTTTACCGAAAGAACCAAGAATAATAATTTTATTGTTTTATATTTTTATTATTTTATTGTTCCCCTATCTACGTGGTGGTGACTTTACCGAAAGAACCAAGAATAATAATTTTGTTGTTTTACAATAATTTTATTGTTTTATATTTTTATTATTTTATTGTTTCCCCTTCTACGTGGTGGTGACTTTACCGAAAGAACCAAGAATAATAATTTTATTGTTTTACAATAATTTTATTGTTTTATATTTTTATTATTTTATTGTTTCCCTTCTACGTGGTGGTGACTTTACCGAAAGAACCAAGAATAATAATTTTATTGTTTTATATTTTTATTATTTTATTGTTCCCCTATCTACGTGGTGGTGACTTTACCGAAAGAACCAAGAATAATAATTTTATTGTTTTACAATAATTTTATTGTTTTATATTTTTATTATTTTATTGTTTCCCTTCTACGTGGTGGTGACTTTACCGAAAGAACCAAGAATAATAATTTTATTGTTTTATATTTTTATTATTTTATTGTTCCCCTATCTACGTGGTGGTGACTTTACCGAAAGAACCAAGAATAATAATTTTATTGTTTTACAATAATTTTATTGTTTTATATTTTTATTATTTTATTGTTTTCCCTGTCTACGTGGTGGTGACTTTACCGAAAGAACCAAGAATAATAATTTTATTGTTTTACAATAATTTTATTGTTTTATAATTTTATTGTTTCCCTTCTACGTGGTGGTGACTTTACCGAAAGAACCAAGAATAATAATTTTATTGTTTTACAATCATTTTATTGTGTTTTATATTTTTTATTATTTTATTGTTTCCCTTCTACGTGGTGGTGACTTTACCCAAATAACCAAGAATAATAATTTTATTGTTTTACAATAATTTTATTGTTTTATATTTTTATTATTTTATCGTTTCCCCCTATCTACGTGGCGGTGACTTTACCGAAAGAACCGAGAATACCATCGAAAGCTTCGTCAAACGACGAGAGGCTGATAGCGCGGACGCGCGGGTGATCAACTAGACTGCCCAACACGGCGACGCCGGACGTTGGCGCTTCTAGGAATAGGTTTTTACCCTTTTAACTGGCACAAAAGCTGACACCTTTATTCAAGGCATCGTGTTTGCAATAACCACAACACAAGCAGTCAAAATGCAAACAAAAGAGACAACTCTGATAATAATATTGGCACTGTCCTTGAATTTGATTGGTCCACACCCGAGACGGCTTTTCTTAGAGCCCTTTAGTCTCCATTGGTGTTGGACCAGAAGACGCCAAAAGGCGTACAACTCAAAAACAGCGCACTATCAGAGTTATTGAGGTGCTCGGGGTGAGCATTAACATTATGAGACCTCCTTTGCCAGAAACAAGATATAGGAATAGGTTTTACCCTTTTAACTGGCACAAAAACTGACACCTTTATTCAAGGTATCGTGTTTGCAATGACCACAACACAAGCAGTCAAAATGCAAACAAAAAAGACAACTCTGATAATAATAATTGGCACTGTCCTTGAATTTGATTGGTCCACACCCGAGACAAAGGAGGTCTCATAATGTTAATGCTCACCCCGAGCCCTCAATAACTCTGATAGTGCGCTGTTTTTTGAGTTGTACGCCTTTTGGCGTCTTCTGGTCCAACACCAATGGAGACTAAAGGGCTCTAAGAAAAGCTGTCTCGGGTGTGGACCAATCAAATTCAAGGACAGTGCCAATATTATCAGAGTTGTCTCTTTTTTGTGTTGCATTTTGACTGCTTGTGTTGTGGTTATTGCAAACACGATGCTTTGAATAAAGGTGTCAGTTTTTGTGCCAGTTAAAAGGGTAAAAACCTATTCCAATATCTTGTTACTGGCAAAGGAGGTCTCATAATGTAAATGCTAACCACCCCGAGCACCTCAATAACTCTGATAGTACGCTGTTTTTTAGCTGTACGCCTTTTGGCGTCTTCTGGTCCAACACCAGTGGAGAGACTAAAGGGCTCTAAGAAAAGCCGTCTCGGGTGTGGACCAATCAAATTCAAGGACAGTGCCAATTATCATTATCAGAGTTGTCTCTTTTTTGTGTTGCATTTTGACTGCTTGTGTTGTGGTTATTGCAAACACGGTGCCTTGAATAAAGGTGTCATTTTTTGTGCCAGTTAAAAGGGTAAAAACCTATTCCTATATCATGTTATTGGCAAAGGAGGTCTCATAATGTAAATGCTAACCACCCCGAGCACCTCAATAACTCTGATAGTACGCTGTTTTTTAGCTGTACGCCTTTTGGCGTCTTCTGGTCCAACACCAGTGGAGAGACTAAAGGGCTCTAAGAAAAGCCGTCTCGGGTGTGGACCAATCAAATTCAAGGACAGTGCCAATTATCATTATCAGAGTTGTCTCTTTTTTGTGTTGCATTTTGACTGCTTGTGTTGTGGTTATTGCAAACACGGTGCCTTGAATAAAGGTGTCATTTTTTGTGCCAGTTAAAAGGGTAAAAACCTATTCCTATATCATGTTATTGGCAAAGGAGGTCTCATAATGTAAATGCTAACCACCCCGAGCCCTCAATAACTCTGATAGTACGCTGTTTTTTAGCTGTACGCCTTTTGGCGTCTTCTGGTCCAACACCAGTGGAGAGACTAAAGGGCTCTAAGAAAAGCCGTCTCGGGTGTGGACCAATCAAATTCAAGGACAGTGCCAATTATTATTATCAGAGTTGTCTCTTTTTTGTGTTGCATTTTGACTGCTTGTGTTGTGGTCATTGCAAACACGATGCTTTGAATAAAGGTGTCAGTTTTTGTGCCAGTTAAAAGGGTAAAAACCTATTCCTATAACAGAAAACCGCTTCGTGTGGCCGCGTGGAATGTTCGAACGCTCGCTGCGGAGGAGAGGCTGCCCACTCCTCTGTCCGGGAGCACTGGACCGGTACCGCCTGGGTCTCTGCGGCATTCAGGAAGGGGGCGGGTGGGGGGGGGGGGGGGAGGCCAGGAGGCTAACCCAACGACATCAAGGCCGCTGCTAGGCTCCTGTGCAGCCCGTGGTGCCGACGAGTCCGGACGCCTCCTGTGTGACCTCCTGTCACAGGCGCTGGCTAAAGCCGCTCCCTCGGGATGCAGTCGCCCCCTTGTGTGTGTCTGCTCGGCTTCTTCAGTGCCCCGAGTTGTTCGCGATGCCTGCACCTGGGCCTGGCAGCGATTTGAAAAGGCACGGGCCAGATCGGCTCGGATGCCAACGGCGGGGGGGGGGGGGGGGGGGGGGGGAGGCTGCTAGATTTTTTTTTTCCGGTTGTCCCCGAGTATCGAACGGACGCCGGTTTTGTCGTCTGCTGGACTGCGTGGAGCGGCGGATGCGGGGCCCACGTCCTTGACGCCGAGGATTTACCGTGGAGCTGATCTGCCCACCGACCATCGGACTTGCCGTCTGTAAAGGCGCGGCTTTGCCGTTCTTCCGCTCCGGTGGGTGGGCGTGTACCGCCCAGGACCACATTCACACCTAAGGTAGCCTGGTCTCGGCTAGCTGACGAAAGTTTGCAAGCGAGAATTTCGTCGTCGCCTGTGGCTGTGGTTGGCATCGTCCCCCCACTCCCTCCTGATGTCGAGGGTGAATGAGGGTGAGGTTTAGGACTGTGACTCATGCAGCTGCAGTGGCTGCTTTGGGTACGCGGTCCAGACCTCCCCAGAGACCCTGGCTGACAGAGGAGGTGTTCAGGCTGGCTGAGAAAAAGCGACAGGCCCATTGTCATCGGCTACAGAATCCCACGTCGGAGAATGAGGAGGCTTACCGCAGCCTTCGCTCGGAGGTTCGGAGAGCCGTGAGGCGCTGCAAGGATGGGTGGTGGTCGCGGGTTGCTGAGGAGATGGAGTCTGCGTCAG